ATGACTATATTAGTGTCAAAATCATTTTTAACTAAAAAGTTTTCGTTTTTATTTGTCACCACCATCATTTTATTTAAGGTTTCCTGCACTTCTTGCAGAGAAGTTGGTGTTTTTGGGAGCACCTTCATTCTGTTATACATATTTTTTTAAATCAAAAACACGTCATTAACGGTTAACGATTCGACATCATGCTTTTTTAATTCCGTATGCAATAATGTTGATGGTTTTTCACATATGTCTTCAACTGCCCATCTTTTTATCGAGACTTAATTGTTGGCGATTTAACGTTGATGTTAATTCGGCTGAGTGATTATGAACCTCATAATAGTCAATGATGGTAGTGTTCGAACCACCAGTTTTTATAAAAGATTTACAGCCATCTCGTTGCGTATATTGCCACCGTTTTACATTTCCAGATAACGTTTTATGAAAGTTAAACTTAAAACCGTTGATTATCAACATAGGTTTTCTCTTTTCACTCAACATTTCACTAACTTCAGCAGAATTCATATTTTTAACTGTTTTTACTTTAAAATTATCAATCAATATTTTCAGCCTGACTCAACTAAAACTTTCACAATAATAAAAATAAAAGAATATACTTGACCCACCTAGAAAAATGTACCTAATTCTAATAATTACGTTTTCAATGAGCCTCCTTCCAGGTAATAAAGTAAGCCAAAAAACCCAATCTAAGATACATATAGCAATGAAAATTTAAATCCAATAAACACTTTTAAGTGAGTGTCCTTCCTGGAAATAAATCATCCCTCATAAATTTAGTGCCGGAGCGAACTTATCTATGACCTTTTCGGGTCGGGGATTAAAATCTGACCGCCGGAGCGAACTAGTGTGTTCCGCTTTTGGCGACCCCTTCCCATTGAATTTTACCCAGTCTATCTCTCTTCGAACTATGCGGGTCTTTCCAACACTTGAGTTTGAATTGGGTGCTGTAATCACCTTAACCCAATACCGTTGTAAATAGGCCATTTAGATAATACCTAAGGGTTTGTTTTGGGTCAAATCCAACCGTCGCGTTGCCGTCGGTCGATTGCAGTTTTGAAATAGAGTTGACGAATTTATTTTTCAAGAAAACGTCGCTATGTTGTAACTACCAATTGAACTGGATGAGTGTAATTCACTGATTCGTGAAAAAACCAAAACCCCTGAGTGGATTTAAGCGAAATATTTTTATGAAAACGGTAAATCAAATTATTCGTTAAAAAGCATCCAATGTACAACTCGAATGGATAAATTTTGTTCTGAAAGTAATGGATTCGGAGCAGCGTCAGAAACTCACTTTGATTGCCCGAATGACGACACATTATCCGATTACGAATACCAAGATCCAGGCTTCCCACATATCCAATTTTAAGAATCAATGAATTTAAAAGAAATTAAAATTGAGATAACTAATGTTTTTGACAATCCTGGACCATCCGGTTGCAAGAAACCAAAGCTCTCATAATTGAAATCGTGTTTTGTTTTTGTAAATTTATATCGTTAAAACAGTAGCTTAATAGTACCTTAATCTGTATATTATTTCCTCTCAATTTCCTTTTTTATTTTTGTGAAAATCAAAATATATTTTAATTTTGTTTGAAGTGGAACCAAAGTTTCAAATGATGTATTTCTTCGATGATAAAATATCGTTTTCCATTTCCTTGTGTTATCAATAAATATTTTGTATATAATCAATACAATTATTATTTAAAAACGTTACTAGTAGAACTTTCTTATCAAACATCACGTTGACGCAAACACAATTTTTAATTCACACTCAGCGCTTTCTGTCTTCTGTTCCAAAATAAGGGAGAGTAAATTCGTCTAAAGAACAGAAAAGTAGGATGTAAGTTTGAAAAAAAAGTGATATTTGTACCTATATCTTGTTTACAAATACTGGGTATATTCTTGTTGAATATCCCGTTTACTAACGGTTAAAAGGGGCTTTCATATTAAGCTTTTTGACTCAAGAAATAATGATAAATGTATTTTTTTTTAATTATGATAATTATGTTCATTGATGAACTGAATGTAATACCTAAATAAAACAAGATCATTTCAAGATGTTCCTTTATTTTTTCAATGTATAATTCTGTCGAATTGCTCATCGCCCATAGTTAATACGTTTTGTTATCACCTTTCGTGTATACTTGCTACAAACTAATATGTCTTTGGAACGCCAACGTGGCATCAAGAAGGTACCGAGCGGTAGTATTTTTGCAGTCGCGTTAACGATATATATTCTATGACATTGACGTTGCATCGTGTGAACCCTCTGACTTGATTGAATGTATTTTGACGTTGTCATATGAATGCCGTTGCATCGAGGCGACTGCAACAAACGTTCGTGATCACTGGCTCTTAATATGGGGATTTTATTTTATTATCTTGTAAATCTGAAATATTTATCAAGATATCTGTATTAAATATGTTAAAATACTCGATAGGCATTTCTTACTAAAGTTGGGTTAAGAAATATTTATTTAAATTCGGATTGCAAGATGCGTCATTTATAAAAAAATTTAAAATACCTATGTCGTTAAGACATAAAAATATTTCGTCCATCCATCTACATTGGCCTGGTGTAACTCACTTTGTCCAGATGAAATTTTGCATCAGTGGGACAAGATTGTGCGTTTCGTTAAACTTTAAGGACATTTCTCTGACTATTATAAATGTATGTACAGATTTTGAGTTTTTGTTAGTTGTTAGAAATTCCATTTTCAAGGTCATGCATGCAATCGTTAAAATAATGATAAATATTATTTTGTTCTCGGAATTAGTTTTGTATTTAGGCTCCACCTTCAATTATAACTTTTATATATCCGCACTTCTAATACCCCGCATGCATCTTTATATTGTACATTTTTCTTTTACTTTTTAAGTATATAGTATATTACATTACGAGTGTGGAAAGTGACATTTTTCACACGAGTGGGAAATATAGTCGCACGAGGCGCAAGCCGAGTGCGACTATCTCACGAGTGTGGAAAATCACTTTTCACACAAGTGATGTACAATATTTTTCCTACGACCACAAAATAATGTCATCAAAAAAATGTAAAACCAAGATTATTATTACTATAATAATTAAAATGTATTTAAAAAAATAATCAACAATAATCGTATTTATTCAATTTTCATATTTTCTAAACAAAAAAAACTAAAAAAAATAAAAAAAAAATAAAAAAAACAAAAAAAAAAATTCTGCCCCGACAGGATTTGAACCATAGATTGAACGCGGTCGAAAAATGGCAAAATTCGACGTCCTAACCAGCTGAGCTAACAGCCCTTGTGTCAATTGAATGATCTAATCGGTTATGTATTTAACCAAAATAAAGAGCAAACATTATTTTAAAATTATTTTAATAATAATTGTTAAAGATAAATATCTAGGATCTAATTTACAACAATTTCAATAATTTAACAATCATATCGATTTTAGTATTAATATGGATATTACATAGATCAAAATAGAAATTAGCTCACAAAATAATATCAAAAAAATGTAAAACCAAGGTTATTATTACTATATTAATTAAAATGTATTTAAAAAAATAATCAACAATAATCGTATTTATTCAATTTTCATATTTTCTAAACAAAAAAAACTAATAAAAAATTAAAAAAAAACCAAAAAAAATTCGGCTCCGCCAGGATTTGAACCATAGATTGAACGCGGTCAAAAAATGGCAAAGTTGATAAGTTCGACGTCTAAACCAACTGAGCTAATGGGCCTTACGTCAATTGAATGATCTAATCGGTTATGTATTTACCCAAATTAAAGAGCAAACATAATCTTAGTTATTTTAAAATTATTTTAATAATAATTGTTAAAGATAAATATCTAGGATCTAATTTAAAACAATTTCAATAATTTAACAATCATATCGATTTTAGTATTAATATGGACATTACATAGATCAAAATAGAAATTAGGCGTTTGACATTTTTTGATAACTACTGCGGAAAGTAACATATTCTCACTTGGGTGGAAAGTAAATTCTTAGTCATACGCGTGTGATATAGGACACTTTCCATAGGACTATATAGTGTGATATGTGTCACTTTCCTAAGTGGTCGTAGGAAAAAGCTTTTTAAAGATAAAATTAAATTAAATCGCCATGGTGCGAATTTTTGATTTTTGTTAATTTTTCAAGGTTCCGGACCTTGTCCGAGGTTGCAAATTTTCCAGATTGTTAAGAAAAATAACATTAACATTTGCAACCAATTTTCAAAAGTTTTACATTTTTTTTTACAAAATTAGAGGAAAATAGAAAAATATTTTGATATTTTTACAAAAAATATATTTCCGTGCAAAATAAAAAGGTTGTAAATTGGAATAGCTGTTCCAAAAACTTGTATGAGTTATGTCATGGGTTTGCAGCACTTTTACAATTTTTTTGTCTATGATATAAACAAAAACACAATTTTACAAAAAAAAATCATGTTCCGGACTTTCAAAAAAAGTTGTAAATCTGATATAATGTTGAAAATAATACTATATATTGCTTCAAGTTTACAGCACTTTTGCAATTTTTTTTTAGAGAGTTATAATAAATTTTAATTATAAATTTAATTACAAATATGCTTCGGACCTCAAAAAAAATTTGCAAAATTAAATTTTAAATTATTTCAATTTAATAAATATTCCAACAAAGTTTGAAAACTTTTGTAATTAGTACTACACATCGCTTGTCAATAGTTATGTAATTAAAAACACATCGCAAACCCAGAGGTGTGCGACTTTCGGGTATATATTCGAAAAAAAAAAAATTCAAATTGAAAATAATTGACTAATGAAAGAAATAATTGAGTAATAAAGAAAAACTAACTGCATGGGTTACCACTTACATTATCAATAGAAAGTGGATGTATTATATGTGTATTGTTAAATTGTCATAGGAAAAAATAATTATCAAAACATTTAGAAAATTATTAATTATGTTTGGAAAATCTGGCAATAGCACCAATAATATTGTGTCATCGTTTTTTAGGATAATGAAAAGGATAGCGTACCAAACGAAACAAAAAAATCAAAAAATGGTTTAAAACATATCCTGAATCTTCCGAAAGCACAAAGAACCTATTTAACATCATCGTTAGTATTTGCTGCATTTACATCATTTTTTGCTTGGGCCACGTATTACTATATTCAAGAAACTGGTAAGAATTTAATTATCAAAGTTTAACCCCTTTCATGAAATAATGTAAATATATTATGAAAATTTTTACAAAATATGTAAACCTTGTTCATTTGATAGATATAATTTGTCTACATGAATTAAACTGCGCTTTCATGTATGATTTGATCTTGAGATATCTATCTCTTTCCTTTTTCCCATAAAAAAATATTTTATTTTTTAGATAGCGGATGGGAACCCTTAAGGGCTACAACATGTAATGGTTATGGGTTTCTATTAATATTATATTGCTTTTTTATTTTTGGATATATTAATGTATATATTTTAAAACCAATAGTATATCCAGCTTATAAGAGTTTTCACGAGCCCACAGTTTCTAAAATAAAGCAATCAATAAAAGAGAGGCCTAAGCTAGTAAATGTAACCAGGTGAGTTGTAAACGCTTGTATGGGTTCAGCTTAAAGTCTTTAATTCAGTTTAGCGGGATAGTTATGTGTTTTTAGAGAACACACTAGTGCCTTATTAAGCAACACTAAAAGTTAATTTACTTATTGCCTGATCTATCTATCTCTTATCTTATCTCAAAGGCGGGTACAGATCTGAGCACGTACGCGTATGAGGCAAGTTGAGACCGAACCGAATGCCTCCTGCGACACATTTTGTATACACGAATGGTGAACGCACAAGGCGCTGTTCGCCACTGCTCCAGTAAATTCGCAAGCACGCAACCGTATACCCAGAACATTCGAAAAATTAAAACAAAAATGATGACGATGACATCGCGGAGTTGAGTGCATGTTTTATTATTTTATCCGACACATTAAAGAAAAAAGGAGATAAAGGAATCGATGGCCAATTTCCTGCCAAGGATATTCGTTTTTATTGTGCTGTAATAGAACTGGCGTTTTGCTCTCTTAAGATATCACGCTGTTTATTTAAATCCATAAGAAGCAAAACGTTTTCCTAGTTCAATTCCATTCCATTCCAAAAAAAAATACTCATCACTGGCTATAATCTGTACGGTGCTATATGGTACAAATTCACCGTCCAGACTGAGCACGTACTGCGCATTGACTCCCTTTGATGTACCGCCAATGAACGGACCAGAGCGAGGCTCAGAGATAACAGAGATATAAGCAGTCATTGATAAAATATAATATTCACGGTGCCAACATTAGTTTGACAATGGATACATTCTATTTCTAGACGCGGGGCGAGGCGACGAAAGGTGAGAAGTAAGAGAAGGGATAGAGAGAAGAATTTTACGGAAAGAAAACTTAGTTTTATCAATGAATAACTGCGCGTATTTATACTACATAACTTAAATTTCCATGCCGGTGTAAGCCCTGTTGCCACTTCCAATCTAACATCACTAGGTTTTGGAATTTGTTGAAAATTATTACATCTAATTTAGTAAAATAACATCTAATATTAAATTTAATATAACTAATATTCAAAATTTTTTGGGTTCAGTTGCAATAAAATAGGTTGAATTATTTTAGCTTTATAAATATATGTAAATAATTTTTTAAACAAAACGAGAATAATGAAATAGCCATACAGTATGGTGTAGATTAAAACTTATTTTAACTTTGCCTCCCACTTCGGTTTCACAAGCTGAATGTTTTAGGGATGAACCCCTTATTCCGGTTGTAATACAAAATTAGACTGTGCATAAGGGCATTATCATAAAAAATCGAGTTATTGATACCACCGTATAGAAAAAAAAAATGCCTATTTTTTATTCTAATGCTCAATTAGGTCTTTGTAGGAAGTATTTTTTTTATAATTATTTAAAAAAAATCATTTACATTAGCCCTGTTTCAACCGTCTACAAATTTGTATAAAAAATCTTTTAGAAATATACCTCACATTTGACGAAAAACGAAGGCCTAAATGAAAAAAAAACTATAATTCATAAAAGTTTCGCTTATGTATTGACAAGGTGAAAGTACTTTCCTCATATTTTTTGCTTTTAAATTAACAAAAATATAGCAATAAACAATTAGCGATGTCATGTTTTACTAGAAAGCAAACATTAAAGGCAGAGTCTCGACTCTCTATGCATCTCTCTAAGTATTGAAATGTATGCAATCAGTTTGACTCTCTTATATTATTTTATACAGGGATTATTGATTTATCCACTATGAATAATAGGGTGTATTACTTCAAGATTTTTTTTTAATTTTTGGATGAAAATGAAAAATAAGAAAATATAAACTATTTATTGAAGTATCGATTATAAACACTAAGGCTATTGCCTGTCGAAAAGTGACTTTTTCAAAAGTTGAATGACTTTTTCAAAAGTTGAAAAGTGGTTTAATTACTTTCAAAATGTTCGTATGACTCTCAAATAAAATTATTACCCTTGCAAGCATTTTTTATTTAGTAGTTCTACTCCATTCACCTCGTGTTTTCGAGAAACAAATTTCAAAATAGTTTCCGATGTGGGAACAAAACAAATAAAAGGTTGAATGGGGTAGAATTACTGAATAAAAAATACTTGCAAGGACAATACGCTTATTTGATAGTTATACAAACATTTTGAGATCAATTAAATCACTTTTCGACTTTTGGTTCCGATTTTACACCTATTCTAGGAATTGTACTCGTACAAACTGATTTGGTCAGCAAAATAGTTTTCTCTTTTTTCCTAGATTTTTAGTATAAGATCCGTATTCATGTGGACTTTATCTATCATGAAGCAGACAACGTAACAAATTAAATTCTAATTTATTGCGTTTCTTCATTTATTCATAAATTTAAGAGATGTTTAGATTAAATCAATTGATTTGTACCTATTTGTTGTTAGAGTTTAATCAAATAGTTTTTCTAATCATTTTTATTATTTTTTAGGAATGCCGACAAGATATTTTACATAGTTTTTCTAGTTGTAATTGTCATATATTTAGTTGTAGATACAAGTGATAACAGACATAGACTTGTACCACTTTCAGGTCTGATTGTATTTTTGTTAATTGGATATATTGTATCCAATAATAAATCTGAGGTAAGTTTATCGCATTACCAGTACTTATCTAGAAAATTATCAAAAATTTTCAGCCAACTTGATTGGTTTGCATTCAAACGTGATTTCTGTTATTATAATATACTACTAACCCGCCCCAGCTTCGTATGGTGATATCTTTTAAAGTATTCATTTGAATAATATACGAGTAATGTAACAGAGACAATTTTATTTTATAAGAAAGGATATAAGGATTAATAATCAATTGGAGAAAAGCATGGTATAAAAATAAAAGGTAGGATTTCAACAGTGTCAAAAATAGGACGGCCACGCGCATGACGTCACGCGTAGAGTTTGTATAGGCACGAATTTAAAAATACTGGAAGTGTGAGGAAAATATATGCTACTTACAGAAATTTGATGAATATTAAGGATAATATTTTAGAAATTACATGAAATATCTATGGATATTATTATGGGATAGTTAAGGAAAGAACTACGAAGGAAGACAAATGCAAATACATAAAAAAAAAATATTTTTTCTTCAAGCGTATATTAATGTTTACATTATATCAAGGTACACGTGTTGTAGAAGTAGCCTATTTTTATACTAGTACAAATATTTTTCATTTTTGTACTAGTATAAAAAAGCACAAACCTAATGTTAAATGGATTATTATGAACGTTGCAATCAAGTAGGCTGGAACTGTCATTTGAGTATTTATTTAATTTGACGTTTGTCAGTGTATGATTTAGAATATAAAAAAAATAGTGTTAACCCGTTCGTTATACCTGTGTTTTTCAAGTAAAAAGAAAATGACAGAAGAAATGCAATCAACACCTCCCGAATTGCTAGAAATAGCGAAATCTTCGATAGAAACCTTAATACCTACGAAATAGAAGAAAGTTTACGATTATGCTTACACAAAATTTGTGAAATGGAGTGAAAAAAATCACGTACATTTTTATTCAGAAAATGTTCTGATCGCATATTTTACTAATTTGTCTGAAAAATTCAAAAGTTCAACAATGTGGTCGCAGTATTCAATGCTGAAATCAAAACTAAATATTAAACATAATGTAAAAATTGAAAACTATTCAAAATGAATTGCCTTTTTAAAACGAAAAGGTGATAATTACAAACCGAAGAAGTCAAAAGATTTTTCTAAACAGGAGTTTGATAACTTTCTTAAGAATGCACCAAACAAGACATATTTAGCAACTAAGGTAGGTACATAATGTTTTTAAACTGTTATTTAGTTTTACAGATATTCTATTAATTTTAGCTTTTTTATTTTAATTTTTTTTATCCATACTTTTATTTAAATGCTTGAAGAAAAAATAGTATATGTCACTCGGATTAGAAGGCCCATTATATGTTTCGCCCAGTTTGCACAGCTTCAGCTAACGCCTCAGCTGTGCAAAATTCTGGGCTCAACATATAATGTTGGCCTTCTACTCCTAGTAACATAATATACTATTTTTGAACAGTTTTTTTCCTTTTTTTAACGATTTATTTTGGTTATACAAATTCGACTTCTTAAAATAGTTTTTATAACCAGGATAATGAAATAAATGGTATCTTCGTAACTCGAAACTGGGGATCCTGGTAACAATTTCGCATTTGGGTATGCTGGAAATTTTTACCTGATTAGGATGTGCAACTGGTTACTCATTTACCTGCATTATATTACTCAATTGAATAAAAATAAGTTTTAAAAAAATATTTTGTTTTTCATATAATATAATGCAGACATTCATATAATATAATACAAAACATAAAAAATGTATCAAATACAAATAACTGCTACATAAAATATGGTGGGTGCATATACAACATTAAAATAAAATGTCGCTGTATTTTTCCTGGACCTAGTCACAGACAGTTTTTTAATTCATTCATCAAGTGCAAGTCGAAATTTCCTTTTTTTTTTTTTGGTGACATTTACAATTTCACTTTTGCTTATATTGCGAAATTGTTAGCCTTCAAAGGGTAGAGTCTCCAGTTTAGAAGTCCCAAGTTGTGAATGAACCAATGTGATTTACACTGGTTTGTTCACAACTTCATATTATGTGAAGTTCTGACTTGAGGTTCTTCTTATATTTGGAAGGTTGAAAGTGCATGGAATACATATAAAAATTTATCTGCAGGGTCACAAGCCACTGCAAGGGCTGCTCCATATCGGATTTTCTTAGGAAGGAGGGTAGAATTGCCTATTTAGCCTATTTTTTTTTTTAATAAAAGGATCATGGATTTTAAAAATTTTAATCTAGGGAACGGCATGCTCCCCTGGGCCTCTGCTGGAGCCGCCTTTGGGCCACTCCTCACTTCTGACTAAGCTCTTACTGTCAAGGAAAGCAAAAACCATATTATCTTTCTTAAATCCTTTCCTTTAATTGTTACTGTTACATCCGTACCGCAATTTTTCAATGTGTTTCATTAAAACCACTCACAGGGAATAAAGTTTACAACATAATATAATACAAATATATGCTTAATATCTTATAAATCACAATAAACGACTCACAAACTACTGCAACATGCGTCTGTCATATTATATTTATTTCGCGCCAACTCTACTAACTCTACGCATGACGTCAGCGCCTCCATGATACTATGCACGATATCCCCCCTGGGAGAAAAGAGCTTCGCACAAATGACCTGTCATTTTTTACTAATCTGTAATAGATAAAAATGGTTATTGTGAGATAGATACATGCTATCACGGATTTTTCTGTAGATCTTTTCAAGACCTATAATTTTCTACCACATTGTTTTAATGTATCTTCCAAGATTCGGCCAGCGTTAGCCATGTAAGCTTACAAAAACAGTTTTTGAAAAGAATCTCAATTCGTCCGCAAAATCCTTACTCCATCCGTCGGACTGCTTACAAAAAACATTCTGGTCGATTCTCGATCGCCGGCATCAGCGGTAATGGCAGCAGTAAAAGTAACAAAGAACAGGGTCGGAATAGCAGTTGTAAGTTTTCAAATTTTCACCACATAAACCTATATATAAAATGATCAGACATTTTATCTATCAAAAAACACGAAATATCAATTTTTGAAAATGGTACCTCTTAACCTTTACATCCCCGTATTTTGAAAATTAATAAAACTATATACTTTTAAATGAAGTACGAATATAAACTCATAACCATTCCTTGCAAAGCCATAATTAACACATTAACGAATACTGATTGTCATAGCAGTTAATCAACAATTCACTGGGATGACAATAACTTCAGAAGTAGTTCATTTTCAGATGTGATTTGGACCATCTTGTCTCACTTAGAGTCTTTAAACTTAACTCGGGGATATTTTTTCTCATAACATCCCACCTTTTTGTGGATGACGAAAAAATTATATAACTCTTGCACAAGATTAAAAAAGTTTATTGTAACATCTGACACCTTAGAAGCGTCATTTACTGTTAAGTTCAAAGTATGAGCCGCACAAGGTACAAAAAAGGCTCTCGAATTCGTATAAAGAATGCGTTTTTGAAGCCCAACATGCTTTCCCTTCATGTTTGCCCCATTATCATAACCTTGTCCCCTAATATTTTTTATATCTAAATTTAATTTTTTCAAAATTTCTGTCACAGTATTGGATCAAACGCAATAAAACTTTCCTTAACTTCAACCCTTTTTAAGGACAACATACCTCAGAACAAGACTAATTTGCTCAGTATGACTAGTGTCTGGTGTACAATCTAATATTATTGAAAAACATTTTGAACTGAGAACCATTTCTAAAATATTATTTCTTACTTTAGACGACAATGTTTCAATTATTTCATTCTGTATTTGCACGCCTAAATAATGAGTCATTTTAACAGATTTTTACAGATTTCTATTTTGATCTATGTAATGTCCATATTAATAATAAAATCGATATGATTGTTAAATTATTGAAATTGTTGTAAATTAGATTCTAGATATTTATCTTTAACAATTATTATTAAAATAATTTTAAAATAACTAAGTTATGTTTACTTTTTATTCTGGATAAACACATAACCGATTAGATCATTCAAATAACGCAAGGCCTATTAGCTCAGGTGGTAGAGTATCAAACTTTATCAACTTTGCCATTTGAGACCTGGCGAGCGACCGCGTTCAAATCCTTTCGGGGCAGAATTTTTTTTTATTTTTTAGTTTTTTTTTGTTTAGAAAATATGAAAATTGAATAAATACAATTATTGTTGATTATTTTTTTGTTTAAATACATTTCAATTATTATAATAATAACCTGGTTTAACATTTTTTGATGAAATTATTTTGTGGTCGTAGGAAAAATATTGTACATCACTTGTGTGATAAGTGATTTTCCACTTAAAATTTGTTCTAAAATATGCAATAACTACCAATCTTTTATTTAGTTTTAATTTACAATTTTTGTTTAAATACCTATGTTTTACGAGTAAACTATACCGTTTTGATTACTTTTTCGTCGAAATTATTTGACGGGTAAGTGGAAACAACCAACGATGTCCATTTTATAGGAATTTTAAAGTAATGAACGTGTTATGTTGGTAATACCGAGTTCCAAACATTCTAAATTGTAAGCGAATAAAATAAACGAGATCCGAATAATAGGCCCCGTATTACGACAAAACCGACGTTGTTTAGGCTAAATACAACAATTTGCAAGTACAAAAACGATTTTGTCACCCAAATACAAACGATTTTTATGAAACATTGTTATACCGGTGAAATTCTCTTTATTTTAGGTTAGTTTCAACCCAAGAATACTGGACATTCGTAAATTTTACTACCTGTCTCAGTCTATGTCAGTTTCTTTTTACTTCTGGTGGCATGCATCGCCCTGCACCTCTCAGTACCTTCCTGTTTAGTCATTGCCTAGCAGGTGATGTGTGCAGATAGTTGATGTCTTAACCCTAAATATGGTAGTTTGCCAAGGCGTCGTAGATTTTACGAAAGTCCAGTTTCATCGGTTATAAAATATAAAGACTATTTTTCTTAAAAGGTAAGTTACTTTTTTTATTATTTTGAACTTTATTTAGTCACTTTTTTTCAGAAAATGTCTAGAAAATATTTAACTGACAAATATATACAGGCTGAAGGAGGGGCATATAGCGTGGAGGGGACAGTGAGCCGGATTATTTTGAAGACAGCGATAGTCATTGGGAGAAGGACAATGTAGAATATGAAATTGAAGAATCTTCAGGTGAGGAAAGTGTTCTAGCGGAAGGGGACAATGTAAAGTATGAATTAGAAGATTCTTCAGATGACGGTGAAAGTACCATAGATGGAATAAATGAAGAAATTCCAATCGCATCAACAAGTGATGCGTCCTTATCTCAAAACATAATAAAGCCTAAGATAACTTCTTTGAAAGGAACAAATGGCTACAAATGATCTGCGCGAAAATGCCTTCAAATATATTGTAATCAGTGCAAGCAACCAACATGTGAAGAATAATATATGCCATGCCTGTGAAAGAGATTAAAAGAATTCTACCTGAAGCCTGTTATTTTATGTGTCTAATACTGTATGATCCCTAGTAGTACCTTTATACTTTATTAAATTAACGATATTTCTTATAATTTGTTGTTATTCGTAAAAAATACCATAGTAAAGTATTAACGTTTATTTAACACAGTCCAGTATTCTAGGGTTAAAATGGGAATCATTCCTTTTTAACAAGTTATTTGTCAGGTTTATTTTTTAACCTGAATATAATAATCTCACGTTTAAATTCTTTTGTAACAAGTTAACCATACAGTAATAAATTACGTTAAAAATATTAACATGCAGTTTTATTTATTTTTATGACTGTAACTAAAGATTTAATAATAATATTAATTATAAACTTAATTTTCTCAGTAAGTCAGTTTTGTGACATCGTTTGTTTTTCTCCTTACCCTTCAATCTCCAGAACTAAATTTCTATTTATTGATCTAAGGCATTTAGTCAATCATTTAGCATGGTGCTTTGTAAAAATTCCGTGAAAACTATAAAACAACTTTAAAATAGCAAAAAATTGCGACATTTGTACTAAAACAGCCGACTGCAAGACGTATTCGATAGCGCGTGGCCCACTACGTTTCCATGGAGACGCAGGCCTCAATCTTGTTGCGGCCGTCTATAGTCCAGTCAAAGAGCTTATAAAATGCTATTATAGGAAGAATTTGGAAGAGACATAATAAATAACACTCATAGCATGTGTCGAGACGATAGGATAAATTATAAAATAAACAAATAAACAATATTTTTAATTAATATATTATTCTCTGGTATCTCTGGTATTTTTAAGGGGAGGCATGCTGCAATGCGGCCTTAAAGGGTAGCCCCTGGTACCAATAACTTATTTCTATTCCTCGTAACACCAAAGTTATTATTGTGGTTAGCTACGTCACACGACCTTTTTTGAGCGGGCCTGTCAATGTGTTAATTGTTGCTACGTATGATGAAAATGAAAGGAATAAATAAATAATTTAGAAATACGTTGACTTGTGGAAAACATCATGAATATTTACAGTGAAATAACATTAAAGATTGTCGCAAAAATTGTAGCACAATATTGACTTGGTTATCGCATCTGTGAAGCATGATGAAAGCAAATCTAAATCAATTTTGTTCGTAAACATTTTTTTAACATTTCACTTGTTTGTTTAGATAAATTGGAGGACAGTAATCTGGGGTACAATACTGCAGTTTATTTTTGGTTTACTGACTATCAGATGGGAAGTTGGACGAAATATTTTAGACTGCGTTGGTGATAAGGTCAACATACTTCTTGGATATGCCTTCAAAGCCGCCGAATTCCCTTATGGATCGAACCTAGTTGCAACTCAGCAAGTGTTTGCATTCAAGGTAAATTCATTATTTACTCAAACGTATTAAGAAATATATAAGCCCGTAACAAAATATTCAGTTACGCATCGAAGATACTGCCCAGATAATAATATATAATCAAGTAGGTACTGCAACAAAAACATGAACTTGTATCGTTTCTTTGATGTGACGTTGAAGTACCGACAACTGATGGGACGCTTCAATATTACTAGGTTATGCTATTACGTTGTACCGAAGTGTCATTCAGGCTTGTTATGCAACGATGTTATGATACGAAGTTATATTGCATATCTGTACGTAGGTTTTAATAGTATGCTAAGTTGTTCACAAAAACGCCACAGAACTTCTTAACGTTACAACGTCGCAAAACAATTTTTAGTTACGCATCGAAAATATGTCAAGGTTTTATGCATGCCAATACATCATCGCGTATCAAATGAGTAAAACATAATATCGTTCCATCTCAGTAAAATAATTTTCTTTCTTGTGAAGTCTCAGATGTAGACAAGTGGTGCAGTACCAGCGCATAAAATGTCTTTAAATCAACAGATAAATACTGATAACCGGTGGGAACCCTTGATGTTACGATGTTATGCAGTGGCGTCCATACTGGTTACGTTATGGTGTTACATTTTTTTATGTCAATACCCTGCGACCTAAAAGAACTGTTGTGTCCCAATCTGTCTCTAAGGGAATAAGGTCTCGACGTCTATAACGATTCTTTCCAAGTAAGTATTAGATTTGGAGTGGCTCCAAGCTGGGCAGATCGCCCATTTCTATTTGGTATGATTCCAAGTATAAGTGCCTTTGGCTTCTGTAGTGTCAGTGAATTAAGGTTTCGAGCTCCTCCTCAAATAATCTGCACTTATTATCGTCTACACTCGTCCAAGTGTATTAAGGCGTCCTTGGAGTTGGTAATGTCCGGTAAAGACCATTGTTACTATGCATAGCCTGTTCTTGGTTGAAACGGATATAGACTTTCGATATTTTCTGGTTATAGTGACCCATAAGTATGTCAGCCTTTACTTCGTTGCGTCCCGGGAGCAAAGTAAGAGAAACTGTATTTTCAACGCCTAGCACATTCAGTTTTTCTGGGTACCTCCAGATCATTTTTGAGCTCAGCGTTTTTATCGATGTTAAACTGGATACATTTCTCAATGGCGTGAATTTTTGCCTTGAAGAATCTTGAGAATTTACCAAAACTTTCGGATTACTTAGTTCTATGCTCATGTATCCCTATTTCAGTTAGTTATATAATTGTGGAACCATCCGTATAGCATTTATGTGTATGATTTTCGATTATAAGCACGATTAATTCTTGCCTTTAATTTTTCTTACAGCTTAGCTGTGGTTTTTTCAAAAAACTGTACTTCTTTCTCATTTCACATTAGGATATATCGGTCCCGGAGCTAATAGACTTTCGTCTCATTGCTCATTCTATATCTCGTCTTTTTTTACGTTATTTACCATTAAATGTAGAGGTGTGAAGTTTAAGATCACCATTACGGCCTCAGGACAGGATTTCATTTCACCGGTAATGCAAATGCAGGCTAGTCTTTGTACCGTTAAGATATTAGCTCTCGTCGTAGCTTCACTAGTTTTGTTACTCCAGACTACAGCCCCGTATGGCTAACGCTACATTCGGTAGAAGATCAGGCACGTAAAATGAATTGCAGATCTTTGCTTAGTAAATTCACATGCCAGACGTTTCAACGGATCTTCTGATCAAGATAGCGAGTTAACAAATTTTTCGTAAGAAATTATAATTAAATTAAATGCAGCAGACGTTCTTTTGCTGAATATCGGCAACCCAAATTCTGCCTAATAAAGTGCTACCCTATGTCATTAGTCTCATTACATCTCTTTATACATACATCTATCGTATTGCTCTATACATCCATCACAGAGTCTTCAGGTTACATCCTCATCTTTTTCTAGCACTATTGTTGCATATTGTTGGAGATTTTGTAGCGTTTCTTCTCATTTATATTCAGAGAAGTTTGTTTGTTTGTTCAGAGCGAGATCCAGATATTTGACCTAATTTTTCCATTCCATATTTTTTCTTCCATGTTGAGGAATTTGAGATTAAGTTCTCTTTTAAAAGGCAATTAATGTTGTTTTTGTAGGGTTTAAACTAGGTCCCACCTCTCGGCATAATATTCTGGTCTGCTCTAGTCTTCTTTGGACTATATCATAAAGAATATTTTCATAATCTCTCGCAAATATCATGTAATCGACATAATCCTAACAGGGTTATCTATTTCTCTATATTTAAGTGCTCTTTTAGAGATTCATGCGGCTTGTTGTCAAACGTTTCATTCATGACTAAAAACGTTCGCCCGACCTACTCTTTGTTTGTTAGTACATCCTGAATTTCGTCATTCAGGACATTTTCTGTTTATCTGCCTGCTCGGTAAGCGTGTTTGCTGTGGTGGAGTGGCACTCTCTTCAGGATTTCTGTTCTGATATAATTTGTTTTTAATTCAAAGGATGTACTACTAATTGATCGGAAGTATTTAGGATATGTGGTATCTTTTTCTCTACTTTTGGAAGGTGACTCTGACCCTTCTCGATGGTTCTAGTGTATATCCAAGTTCCAGACAGCTCCGGGATATCCAGATTATATGTGGTATAAGTTCCTCTTGTGTCAGCTGACAAAATATTCTATTCACACCTGGAGACTTAAACCGTTCAAAAGTCTTCATGACCCACTTTAACCGATTACTGCTGCTGCTCTTCCTTCTATGAACGGCCTGCTTACCTTACTTGCGGGATGTATTAGAAAAGGTGTGCTCCCAAAAGTGAGTTTCGAATAAGAGGCGAGCTCTTTCCTCCTCACTTTTCATGAAGCTACCTTTTGGTTCCTCTAGCTGTACCACCTTTCCCTTTGCGTAATGGTGTTAAGCTACGAAATGTTATTACACACCTTTGCGTTGTAACGAAATGACGTTCAGATTTGTTGCGCAACGATGTTACGATACGAAGTTCTGTTATTTTTTGGTTATGTTTCATACCGATGTCGATATACATATAACTTGAAATAAATGATAGGTACAGTTTTGACCCGTTCTTCAGGCTCAGTAGAATATAATAAATAAATATAAATATAATAAATAAATATATAATAAATAATATTTATTTCGCGAAGTAACATTAATATTGCATATATTCTTTTTTGATTTAAAAATTTTTCTTTTAGAGTTTGTCAACGGTTTTCTTCATTAGTTTTCTTGTAAATATTTTATACTATTATGGAATAATGCAAAAAGTTGTTGGAAGTATTGGAGCATTCTTGCAATGGATAATGGGCACATCTATATGTGAAAGTGTAAACAGTGCTGCCAATATATTTTTAGGAATGGTAAGAATATTTCAAAAATTAATTATATATGAATTTCTTACTTCTTTCTCTTATTTTTGCCTTCTGCAAAATTTAAAGCAAGTGTTTATTTCTCTCAAAGAAGCCTCCTGATAGTATCTCCATTATTCTTTACACAAAGATTGGCCAGACGTAACCATTTAAGCAAATTGTTTTAGGTCTTCTTCTAATAATTTCAGCTATATTTTAGGTTTTTTTTCACATACCCTGAACCTTTCATGTTATCCCATAAATAAAAATTATATGGAGTGAGATCTGGTGGCCTATGAGGTTATGATATAGGTCCTCCAAATAGTATAGATAGAAGGAAAAGCACTTATTACATTTATTTTTTAGACTGAAGCACCTCTTCTTTTATCTCCGTATTTAAAAAATCTTACTGATTCAGAAATTCACTCCATTATGACATCCGGATTTGCAACAGTGGCAGGTAAAACATTTAAGCCTTTTATCTACTATTTATAACTTTAAATTGAGTTTTGTGTGAGGCAAGAAGCATTATTTACCCTAATAAATGTTTTAGGATCAGTCATGGCTGGTTATATTTCTTACGGAGCAAGAGCACAAGATTTAATAACTGCTAGTATAATGTCTGCCCCTGCAGCGCTGTGTTTTAGTAAATTAATGTACCCGGAAACTGAAGAAGTCGTAATGCATAAAGAAAATATCGAAGAAGTTGAAATGTAGGTACATAAGTATACAGATATAGAATTTTCAACACATAAAGTATATCTTAGAATGAACTGAAAAAAGTTTAATAGGAACATGCGCATAACAGAGAAGGCTGATATGTGTATGTACCTACTATATCCTGTTCCACTTATTATAAAGTGTATTTTTCAGCTTTATTGTCCAATAGTTAACCCATGTATAGGACATTTATAAATTTAACAAATACTATGAATTCATTTTAGAAATAAGAAAAAATATGTACGGGGTGTTTCAAAATGAAGTACCGTACATCGTACACTAGAGGATTTGTAGATCTTAACTAATTATTAAAAAAAGCTAAATATAATTTTTCTCTAAACGTCCCAATTTTTATTCTACAGGGTGATAAAGTGAATTTAATAAATAACTTTCTAAATATATTTCCTTACGGTAAAGACTTTAACTTAAAAATAGGTTTATGTTAATTGTCATTATTAGTTAACACGCTCCATTTTGATAAATTACGATTACCCTTTGGCGTAGAATCAAGGGCTAAGAAAACAATATAAACTTTATGAACACTCTATATTTTATAAAAGTTGAGATTGATAATTATTCCTCAGGCAATTTATTACATTTTTTCAGTTTCGATATTTTTCAGTTTTAGTCCTATTCAAACATGAAATCTATATACATTATGAAAATCCAAAAAAGGACGATTTCATAATCAATATTATGTCCATAAAAGTCCATAAAATCTTGGTCCCATTAGATAATGGACCTTTTAATATTCATTATGAAATCGGCTCTTGAGTAAATTGTACATAGATTTCATGTTTGAGTAGGACTAAAACTGAAAAATCTCGGAAATGGAGTGTTCTTCAGAGATCAACTAAAAGTCCCTTTTTTGTGACAAATTGCGTGAGGAATAATCATTAGTCTTAACTTTTATGAAATATAGGGTGTTCAAAAAGTTTGGATTAAAATTGTTTCCTTAGCCCTTGATTCTACGCCAATGGGTTATCGTAATTTATGAAAATAGAGTGTGTTAACTAATAATGGCGATTAACTAACATGTACATAATTTTAAATTAAAATCTTTACCGCAAGGGAAGATATTTAGAAATTGATGGGACCACCATTAAGGCGGTATTTTCCAGATATTTAGAGAATATTAAGTCTCAAACTTATGTTTCTTTTTTCAGTTACCATACACCTATAGTTTCAATGATAAAAAATCCTGAATTACCTACATGTATTGTAAGATAATAAAAATATTTTAAACAATATTAACTTCTCATTTATTCAATAAAAGAAAAGAATTTGTTTTCTTATCACCACCACTCTCAAAAAGTGTAACTTGAATTAAGATCAGAGAAAAAACTTGAATTAATATCAAAGAAAAAAAAAATACTGCATAAATAAAATAAATAAATAATTATAATTGCTAAGTTGATAAAAAATATTATGCAATAGCTTTACCGCGGCAGTCCCCGAGTGCCACACGTATTTTTTATTATAATAGCTTTTACTGAACAATTGATATGTGAGCACTTTTGTAAAGTTGAAATCCCAAGAGTATTTCTGAGGTAAAGATAGCATCTTTTACTCAAATATCGTATCGTAAATGTTTTAGAAATGTCTTTAGAATTCTCTTTAAAATGATTTGTAACTCGTTTTTACTAAAAACTTCTTGTATGAAACTCTTTCTTTTATTCAAGTCCATTGACTTTTCTTGCTATTGGTTGTATTTTAATGTTTGTAATAAATCATCGCATCTGCATTTAAATGTAGGTTAGACAAAGATGCAATTAATTTAATAATAGTGAATGATAATTGAGAGAATAATACTCTAAAATCTTACCATTAGCCTTTAATTTCAGTTTAGACTCATCTTTTTCTTTTAATGATTTTTGTCTGCAAAAATTGTTGGCCAATACCAACATTATACAGCTCGCTCCAGGCATGTTAAAATTTTAAAATATTTCCGGGTATTAACAAAGTGTGGTCCGGGTTCGACACGGCGGTCGTACCCTAACACAACTTGTTTAAAATAAACCAATCACACACTAATATTTATTTTGATAATTCAAATAAAAAAAAGCAATTCATT